CCCCCCCCCCCCCCCCAGCAACAATCGCAGGGGCCATCAAGGCAATTCCTTCTTGTCTCCTGAACTGTGCTTATAATATAATATAATATACATATACATATACATATAATATTGATGATATTATAATGTAATACAATATACTAATAATAATAATATATTATATATTTTATATTAAATGTAATATTACTAATAATATTACAGTATAATGTTATAGTAGAATGTAATATATAATATTAATATTGTGCTATGATAATAATATAATATATTGTATTTACTTTTTACTTGTAAGCCGCTCTGAGTCCCCTTCGGGGTGAGAAGGGTGGAATTTATAAATCTCGCCAATAAATAAATAAATAAATAATAAAAGCCCATAGACACTAGGGTCAGGGGATCTAAAACAGTCAAACGAAGTGAACATGTGAATGTGCCAGAAATTATCTTTTTTTGTACCAATGTGACTTTCAAGACCTATCTGAGTTCAGATTAAAATTGGTGAATGATGTTATTGTAGTCAAACTGGATGGGATTCTTCTCAGTGAGGCTAGAACGCGGTTCTTGTGTAGATCCAGCCTCAGTTTCCCCCGTTGCTATTTCCTTTCAAGGAGGCTCACTGAACAACAGCAGCCGACGGCGGATCTCATGCAAAGATTTGGGGCATGGAGATTGCGAGGGCTGGTTATGGAAGAAAAAGGACGCCAAAGGCTACTTTACCCAGAAGTGGAAAAAATACTGGTTCGTGCTGAAGGATTCCTCCCTGTATTGGTACACTAACCAGAATGTGAGTATCCCTATACATAAATCCCTTAAAGTCAATATTGTTGTCCCACTTTTGGCAAAGATACAATATGGTGACAGTTTGGGTCTCATTTATGATAGTAGTCACTCACATGAGATTGTACAAAAATGTTCACAAAGCCAGATGAAAGCGACGATCTTGACATGAGTCACTCCAATTGGAATACTATGCATTTGGTTTGTAGGAACATCACAGAGGGCCGATGGAGTCAACTCAGGGTGAGGGCAATCCTTTCTCGAGGGACGAACACTTTCAAAACGATCATATTTTTTTACCGATCTCACAAGAAAAGAGGAACCCATTGTGTTGAAAAAGTTCTCAAAACCATTGCATGCAATTTAGCTTCACAAAAGGTCAAAAGTTGCTGAGTTGCTTCATCCCATGCTGATTTTTTTGCCTTTTCCAGAAATGGAAATAGTTCCCAAAAGGCACTGGTACTTCACCCTGACGTTGCAGCCAGGGCTGCAGTCTATGAGTTTGTGGCTTAAGGGCTTTCAACTCTGGCTTTGATTGTAGTTTAGGATAGGACTTTTCCTTTTGAACGGATGATAATAATGTAAAATCGGCTTCAAACGACACACTTCTCGTACAAAAGTGAAAAGAGCGCACCATGCAAATTTTCGCTCGGCTCTTGGTTATTAATAGGCTCAAGCTGGCCTTCTTTTGACTAAAAATGCTCCTATTTAAAGGTCATCGGCAAACAGGAGTTGGATTAACTCTAGCTTGCTCACAGATTTGGAAACTCACCATCTATAATGAAAAGACCGAGCAGGATCTCAACCTTTTGCTCTTTGTCAGTCGTGTTCCCTTTTCCTTTCTCAATAGGATGAAAAAGCAGAAGGATTCATCAGTTTACCAGAGTTCAGGATAGACAGAGCCATCGAATGCAGGAGGAAACAGTAAGTATGTGGGGGAAAAGACTGAAAAATGGAGACGGGAGAGGGCTAATGCTTCAAGGGAGGGAAGGTCTCATAGGCATAAATTTAGGTCAGGTTTTATGGCTTCTTAAAGGTGACTGCTTTGACAAGTGGCATCCAATGAGGTTTTTTTTTTTGTCATGTCAGGAGCGATTTGAGAAACTGCAAGTCGCTTCTGGTGTGAGAGAATTGGCCGTCTGCAAGGACGTTGGCCAGGGGACAATGCCCAGATGAATTGATGTTTTATCATCCTTGTGGGAGGCTTCTCTCATGTCCCTGCATGAGGAGCTGGAGCTGATAGTGGGAGCTCATCCGCCTCTCCCCGGATTCGAACCTGCAACCTGCAGGTCTTCAGTCCTGCCGGCACAGGGGTTTTACCCACTGCGCCACCGGGGGCTTCATATCCAATGAGGTGACCCATGGCCAGTCCCATTATTGGGCAAAGTGAGGCAGATGCCTCAGCCATTGGGTTTTGAGTGTAGAAAGTCGGTGTAAGTATTAAGATTTTCTAGTCCTTTCTGTTTTCCTTTATGTATTTATTATTTATTTATTTAGAACTTTTATAACCCGGTCTTCTCAACCTCCGAAGAAAATCCATACACAATTCAACTAACAACATAATAACATCATAATACATTGAAATACAAACCAAATAAATATATAAAGCCCAATTGTCAAGATAAAATCACATTCATCACAATCCACCAGTGTGGTCAGTAGTTGTTGACTCGCTAATCATTCTGAGAATGCTATGTCCCAGAGTCAGGATTTTATTTGCTTTCTGAAAGTCAGAAGGGAAGGGGTAGATCTAATCTCCATCGGGAGAGAGTTCCAGAGCCGAGGGGCCACCACCGAGAAGGCCCTGTCTCTCGTCCCCACCATACGTGATTGCGACGCGTGGCTTATACTCAAATCGATACGTTTTCCCAGGTTTTTGTGATAAAATTAGGAACCTCAGTTTATATTCGGGTTGGCTTATACTTGAGCATATACAGTATGCCATAAGCCAATTTAACTGATTTGATACTAGACTATGTATGGAAACTCAATAAAAATTCTCACAAATTTTGGCTCTGTAAATAGAATGTCAGCTGCTGTCCTCACCTTTTTGCCATGTCTTTTACTCATGCTATACTTTGAAATGGTTATATGACAGGTCAAATAAATAAAGTTGTTATTGTTATTATTATTATTATTATTATTATTAGAAACACAACAAGATTAGTCCACAGCAGACTTGTTGTGTTTCAAATAATAATTATTTATTATTATTAGAAACACAACAAGATGAGTCCACAGCAGACTTCAACTCTGCTAGCTGTTGAATTGGATCACACGTCGGACACTTCCCAAGTGTCTAGGACTGTGTGATGTATCAGTGAATAATGCATGCAGATCCCAGTAAGGTGGCTTTCTGCAGCTGGCAGATGGTAATTTTGTCAGCGTCGATTGTGTTTAAGTGCAGGCCAAGGTCTTTAGGCACTGCACCCAGTGTGTCGATCACCACTGGGACCACCTTGACTGGCTTGTGCCAGAGTCTTTGCAGTTCGATCTTTAAATCCTCATATAATGTCAGCTTTTCCACTTGTTTCTCTGCAATCCTGCAGTCACCTGGGATTGCGACATCAACGATCCATACTTTGTTTTTTAACACAATTGTGAGGTCAGGAGTATTATGCTCCAAAACTCTGTCTGTCTGAATCCAGAAGTCCCAGAGGAGTTTGGCATGTTCATTCTCTATTATTATTATTATTATTATTATTATTATTATTATTATTATTACCTGATCTTCTGCTGTTGTCTAGATGAAACCTGTAGCGTCAGTGTGGAAAACTAGCTTGGCAGGATATAAAAGATTTTGAACGTTTTGGAGACAAGCTTTGTCAGTGGCATGCTCTATTGTTGCATTGTTTTCCCCATCTAAAGTGCCATATACAAGTCAACATTCACTATTCAGTAGCACTTCGGAGACTGGGAAACGAGTCACTAGACAGGCCCGAAGGCAAGGAAGAAAAGATAAGAATCACTCGTTTGACTCCAGGAATCATCACAGCCAGAAATCTAACTTCCCCAGACAGTCGGGTGCTCTCTTGGGAGGAACTGCTTAGGAAGATGTGTGACAACCCACACAAATAAGAATAAAGAAATTGCCATAGCCCAATAGGACAGGTTTTCACAGTATAGCTTGTTTTTACCGTATGGCAAATCTGCTCACTGCATCAGATCATAATAATAACATATCTGTTCACCAGAATTGATAATGGGTTTGTACATTGTGCAACCACTGATGCTGATGAGATAATATAGCTCAGACCTTTCATTCCACAGATTATTCCACAGATTATTATTATTTCGTATTAAAATCATTGCATAAATTAGTATAAAACTGATAAAAATAGGAGTACAGGCAGCTAAATATCTTTTGACTAAAAACGGGCAACAGCAATGGCATTGTCTGTAGTTTCAAACAGTTCGTCCTCTGTGCATGAGGCGGGGCATTATGGACAAGCATGCAGATGTCTGTTCTGCTCCACAGTCACACAAAGTGTGGGATTCTTCTAGGTTGCGCCATTTTGCCAGGTTGTCTTTTGATCTGCTTCTGAGTCTGTTCAGGGACTTCCAAGGTGCCCATTCTTGGTTTGCCCCTGGAGGAAGACCCTCATGGGGGGGCCATCCAGTTGGGGTTTCCTGGTTTCGCCGCCCAGAGGGATAGCCTTGCTGTTGCTGGGGGGACGCCAAGAGGAATGGTAGTTCTCATAAAGCTTTTCCTTGATTTGAATCTACTGGGAGGAGTCTGGTAGCCATGCAGTGGGCAGCTTTCAGTGTTCAACCTTATTTCTCTCATATTTAGCAGCAACTTCCCATCGCACATTGGGGGGGGGGGGCAATGCCAGCTAGATAATAGAGTTTATCAAGAGGTGTAGGTTTAAAACATCCTGTGATTATTCGGCATGTTTTGTTTAATACTATGTTCACCTGCATTGCATGGGCAGACTTATGCCAAACAGGGCAGGCATACTCAGCAGTTGAGTAAGTTTCCACAGATGGAAACTAGACACATGTGGCCAAGAGATATCAACATGTAGCTTGAGTTATTAATGAGGAAAATGGCACAAGTTAGGCGAGGCTGCAGCAGATTGCTTTTGTCTGAGCCTCCAGGAAAGGGCCAGGTTCTCTGATCCAATGTGGAAGCACTTGTAAGACTCGCTGGTTTTTATTTTGATTTTCACTTGGCATTTCATTTTAGTCCTAAATCCTTTTCTTACTAAAAATGGCCACTTAATTTTCATATCTAGTTTGTTTTTATTATTTAATTGTAGGAAGGCCAAGCATTCCCTATGTAACTTTGCAAGATTTGTGCCCTTGATGGGAATTCCTTTATTTGTGGTTCAGCCCTTTGAGATGGGACACAAATCCAAGATATGGAGAATGGGACAATGTATGGGTTTAGTCTCACACTGCAGAAAGGAACCAACCACGTTCCAAGTGGTGTCTCCTTTGGTTTGCTGCGAGTTTTCTGGGCTGTCTAGCCATGTTCCAGAAGCATTCTCTCCTGATGTTTTGCCCACATCTACAGCAGGCATCCTCAGAAGTTGTGAGGTTTGTTGGAAACTAGGCAAGTGGGGTTTATCTCCTTGTCAAGTAACTCTTCCTTGGCAGCTTGGTTTATTCTAATCAATAGCTATTGCCTGCCATCTGGTGGATGATGTTGATGATTTCTGTTCCATATTTGCCCTTCCTTCTGTGTTCTTTAAGGATGGATGGATGGTCCTTGGGATGAATTCTATGCTCAATGCAAATGACATTATGTCTCCCTTATCCATAGTTTTGAAATCCATGGTTTCACTTACCCATGCTCCAAAAGTATATCCTTTTGGAAAAAGTATATCCTTTTGGAAGCCTTAGTCTTCCAATGCAGCTCTATGGCATGATTCCAGCCCAAGTTTATTTAAAATATAGGGTTCACTATTACCCACAGTGTCAGATGGTGCAATGGGTTAAACCCTTGTGCTGGCAGGATTGCTGGCCAAAAGGTCCGGGGAGTGGGGTGAGCTCCCATCTGCCAGCTCCAGCATCTCATGCAGTGACATGAGAGAAGCCTCCCGCAGGATGTTAAAACATCCAGGCGTCCCCCAGGCAATGTCCTTGCAGATGGCCAATTCTCTCACACCATAATCGACTTGCAGTTTCTCAAGTCACTCCTGACATGAAAAAAAAGTAACCACTAGGGAGGTATGGGAACTTATACCCGACAGATATAGCATTCAAATACAGCTTTCGAACTGTATACTTTTTAAAGTTTCTTCTAATGTTTTCCCATTCCTGTGTTAGTTCTCATTTCAGCAGTGAACCACTTTTCACATTGCTGGACCAGGTCCATATGACTGCTTACCCTGTGCTGGTCACTCCATTAAAATGTCAACATCATATATGAATGGATGGGTTCATGTATTTGTGGTGTAACCAAATCTATGACCCTCCAGAGTCAATTAATCATTGACTAAATACTTATTGTCAATCAGTCATTGAATCAGTCATCCTCTTGGTGGACTACAATGATCAAAGACAAAGTTGAAGGCACACAACAACCAAGTTCTTCTATGTCAGATTAGATTAGATGGGCCAAAACTAACAAAATGAAATTCAACAGTGACAAATACAAGATACTCCACTTAGACAGAAAAAATAAAATGCAAAGATACAGAATGGGGGACGCGTGCCTTGAGAGCGGCATGTGTGAAAAAGATCTTGGAGTCCTTGTGGACAACAAGTTAAACATGAGCCAACCAAAAAAAGCCAACAGGATTTTGGCCTGCATCAATAGGAGTCTAGTGTCTAGATCCAGGGAAGTCATGCTACCCATACTCTATTCTGCCTTAGTTAGACCACACCTAGAATGTTGTGTCCAATTCTGGGCACCACAATTGAAGAGAGATATTGACAAGCTGGAAGGTGTCCAGAGGAGGGCGACTAAAATGATC